TTCCTTTCATCTGATTTTCTTATTGTTTTTCTCTCGCCTCTTTACTTTCTACTTTTCCTGTAAATGTTCAAAATTAACACAGCTTTTCATTTCACTGAAGCAGAGGTTAAGTGCATGTGAGCATTATCACCTCATCTTTCTTTCTACTGCATCCTCTCATTCATATTTCCGTTACTTTATCTCTGTAGAAAGAATTTTAGTGTATTGCAGTTTTTATGCTTTTCTATTGTTCACAGCCTCTGTCACTTCTCTTTTGCTTTTCCCAATTTCTTCTTGCAACTATCTAACTTTTTTTCAGCTTGAAAGTATAACTTGTTCCATTTCAGAAGGTTTTGGGAATTGTAGCAAATACTAATCTGATCCTAGGTAGAAAAGTACACGTCTTTCAAAGAAATAAGTGTAATAATATACTTTAATTATTTAAAACTAAGGTTCTCATCTTTATTGTGATAGATTTTATAGACACATCTGTAACAATCAGGATGAGAACAATAGTGCCATGGGTGGTAGTAACTGTTAGGGTTCCAGCTAAGGGTAAACAGTGAACGCCTGTGTCTAAAGCAAGATAGCCTGATGGGCCCATCTTTCTTCAGGTAGGTTTTGAATTCAGTTACCTTTTAGACTGGTATTCACCCAAGGTTTGAGAACACCAGTCTACCTTGTCATTTAACTCTTAGCTAGTGGTAGAACTGATTGATGCCTTTTCCAAGAGTGTTAGTGTGAAAGTGAATACAACAGACTAACCTGGGATTTGAACTCTGCTTGCTGATTACTCTTTCTATGCCATTATCTGTTACAATACATCACGCATACCTGCATATGTGTTGCAAAGACGAATGTTGAAAAACGAATGTTAAAGAGTGTAAAATGAAACATTAATTAATTAGTAATTGTGGAATAGCAGGACAGAATGGGTTCTATAGCCTTGGCTGGCAACCATTTCAGAGATGGTCACTCAATAAAATCACCCAGCAAACCTGGGCCACCTTTGGGGTGTGTCAGCCTATGAAAACGCATTAAAATTTTTAAGTCATGTGAGTTACACATTCTGCTGCAGATGGAAAAAATGTTTACTTGAATTGATAATGCACTAGTGTCCAAAATGACTAATTTTAGTAGTATACATATTAGAAAATGCTAAAAATAATGATTTGATCTCTGGGTGATCAGAAAGTAAAATTATTGATCATGATGTCAGATCTGAGTATACTGAATGTCAAATTGAGGAAAGCAGTGCAATTGTAATGAAATGAAACATTTTGAAGGTTATGTTGCTGGAATTAGGATTAATGATAGTGTAATATACACCATAAACTTTGTTACTCATTAGTTAATGCAATCAAAATATATCAAGAAACCATCATTTAAGTTCAAGTCATTGGCAAGAAGCCTTGCAAGATGAAATGAACTCTCAATAGGAAAATAATACATATGAACTTGTCCTCTTGCTAAGAGATAGAACATCTGTATGTATGTATGTGTGTTTTTGTGTGTTTTTAAATCCTTTCACTCTAAGCAAGGCAATAAAGCCACTAGGATGCAAGGGGTTAGAGAGTATTAGAGACTATAAGAAAAACTATTAAGAAAAGAGCATAATAAAAGAACAAGAGTTAAGAAGACAGAAGATAATGATTGACAATTGCATTTAAATTTTTGAAAATTCAACTTGACTGGGAAGCAAGAAATGGGAAGAGTTTCACAAGTGAGAAGTGTGATAGAAGAAACGATGTAACTTATGGTTACATCTGAACATTTCTACTGTAAAATGATGAGACCTCTCTGCCAATCTAGTACTGCATTTAAATTCATAAGGTCTAGGTGCCATAGTGGAATGTTCATCAGAACAAGTACCATGAAAGTATTTATAGAAAAGACACAATGAAGCAACATTGAGAAAGAGATTGAAGCTGAGATGCCAGGTCATTGTTTGCATGAGGGGGGGTTTCATTGGTTTTCATAATTAGCTCCAACAAAAATGTTGAGTAACCCTATAAATGACCTTTTGTCATAAAGGGGATCTTGCTAATTTCCTAGCATTGATTATTGGGATACATTTTTATCTACAGCATATATTATGCCCATCTGATCATTAATGCAATTAGCTGTTGAACATAGCTTGATTGTTTGCCAGATGGATATTAAAAACTATTTGAATTCTCTGATCAATTGTGACCTTATGCTAAACAAGCAGGTTTTGCTATTAATATTGGTAAAAATGGTGAAAAACTAGACAAAAAAATAGTCATTATATTGTCTGAAGCAAAGTGGATGGAATTGGCATACATTATATTGCATTCCTACTTTGATTAATCAAGATTTTATCTAATTACTTCCTGACCTTTGTATCTAATCTAAACATTTGAAGGATTATTATTATTATTACTATCATTATTATTATTAGACAAAATGATTGACATAACTCTTTCAATACTTTTCAACATTTAAGAACATGATAAAAAAAAGAAATATACAGTGTTTGACAATGTCAAACAATATTTTGACAGTATGGAGATTTTCTAGGCGTCGCTTAGATATGACACAAGGCTAAAAGTATGGGGAACCCAGTGATGACCAATCCTACTACTCAGTTGTAATGCTTTTAGTAAGACAAGTTTGCTAACCATTACACCATGTCAAGGTGCCCTATTTTGACAGTATGTCTGTCTTATATTTAAAAAATTTTTTCAAGTATAAAAAAAATATGAATTTACAAAAAAATATAAGTTTTTGTATAACAACGTTGCTTGTCTTGTAATGAAAAAAACAAAAAACCCAACTGTACTGGTAGTCAACATGTCAAAATGGATGAAATGCCACCAGTGTGAAGGCATGTAACTGAAACATGCATAATATGATGGTGATCTTTTTCATCTTGGAGTTTTCTGTTGTTGATTAGTTACTATAAGAAATTCATCAAACAGCTTAGTATAAATCCTCTTCTATCATTCTGTTCATTCCCCTGGGGCGGGAAGTTAGTAATTTGCATACATCACTATCCTCATGTCTTTTAAGAGTCAGTAGATTTTGAATATTTTTTCAGAATGTGCACCTTAAGATGTTTGTTGAAATTACAGTCATTTGTAATAAAATGTTCCACAAGTTCCAATGATGTCATATTGTTGTTTGACATCATACCTGTGGCTATTGAATCTTTTATTTAATTTTTCTGCTGTGCAATCCAGATAAATCAAGTTATATTTGGTACATTGAGCAGCATACATTAAATGGGAATCAGTACAATTGCCACTTTCTAAAGAAATTGTGATTTTCTTTGAATTTGTGACAGAAATGACTTGTGTTGTTGCACAACAAACAGCTTTTTCCCCTTCTATGAGTTTTTTTTTTTTTTTTTTTTTTGAGAGCACAATAATCCAAAACTTCAATATTGTTTTGAGTGTGAACACTTACATTTGTTAAAATTTTTCTGTTGTTTCTTATTTCTTTTGAAAGAAACGATAGGTGGATTGGAAAAATCTCTTTAGAACGCATATATTGCGCAATGTCTTCATAGCTGTCATGTAGTATTTTCAAAATTCCAGAAAAATTTTGGTGCCAGTCAATGACTAACAGGATTCTGTCAGAATTTTTGTATTTTTCAGTGTTTTGATCTGGGGCAATCTTCATTTTTGGCTATTTCATTGGTAATTTGTTTCAGTCGCAACTCTTGATAGCTGCGCTTAACATAATGCTGATTGAAATGATTAGCATGCTTCTAATAATCTTTTATCTTCATGCAAATTAGCCTTATGCACAAAAATTGATATTTTGGGTTTGATTTTATTGTGTGATAAAGAAAAAACAGTAGTATGATGAGATAGTCTTCTAAAAATATTTTGGTTATTAGACAATTTCTTGAGAACTCTTAGTGTCTAAAAATTCAACACTGGCTTTGGAGAAACTGGATGTAAATTTTTATATGTGATCAAAAATTGTTCTTTTGTGAAAAATAATCACAAAATTGTATAAATTCTAGCAAACTTTCCTGTGTACCTTCCCAGATGTAGAAAATATCATTTTTGCATTAATCAATCGTGTACTTCAGGTAGTATTAATTAACTCAACTATTTTGAAGACCATTTGGTCAATTGTTTCCCATCAGATCAAAAAAAATGTGAGGGATAAAATTCTCTTGGACTTTATTTTTTTGACCTATGTCAAAAGAATCAGCAAATTGTATTTTTTTTCTTGTCAGTTCAAATTGGGACAAAAAATAATTGCTGTCATAATTTACTGCAGCTTGTTTGATAATTAATTTGAATACCATCCACCCACTTCCCACCACCAATTCCCCAAAATATTGTATAAAATAAAATCAATAATAATGACACAGAGTCAATTTTTTGTCTGTAATATATATATATATATATATATATATATATATATATAACCAAAATAATTCTGGATTAGTTTTGTTTCTCAGTTTGTTGTAACAGCTTAACTACTGGATTGGAATTAGTAAAGAAAGAAAAAGTTTAGGGTGAGGAGGAATACTTTCTGATTGATTAAGCAGACCCATCTGTGACGATAGTAATTATAATGGGAATATAGGTTTTACCCAGTCTCTTCAAAAGTAGACCGTTCCTCTGGAACCCATGTTAAACCAAAATGGCTTAAAATGAAGCAATCATCATTAATTTAAATGGGGAAAAGATTTTGAGCATTTGCATACTTACAAAATAACTTGCTTGCTGAAAAATGAAAGCAGAATATGAAAAAGCACAAAAAGTTAGCATAGAATTCTAAAGCTATATTGAATGCCTATAAAGAATTTTAATTTTCAGTTGGTGGTTGTTGATATTTTGGGGGTTTTAATTTCTAGAGTTTTTTTATATTTTCAAAGCGTTCATTTTGAGACAGTTGTTGTTGATTTAATTTCCAGATGGTTGTTGTTGATATTTTTAATAATATTATAAGAATTAACTTATTGTTGCCACTTTGAACTGTAGGCTTTCTTTTTTACTACCTTAAATTTAAAAAGATTTTTTGCTTTTATTCTACAGAGTTGCGCCGTGCACTTTACTACTTTCAACGTCCAGTCTATGCAATTAGTTACATCGTTCTACTGCTGTTCTCTTTAGTCATGTACTTCCTGGCTTGCTTGGTAGACCCTGGTTACCTGCCACTCTCCAAGAAGGTTAGTATTCAAAATTCTCTCTTTTTCTTTTTTTTTTTTTCCCCCCAATGATAAAACAAGAAAGAGTTGTCTAAAACACTAAATGTTTGTTACTGCATAATAATGTCAGCTTGGTTTTAAAAAATATCTTTCCACACTCTCCATTAAATTAATGCACACCATCTTAATGAAGATGTCTCTTTCAGTACTTAAAAAAGTTTATATAAAAAAGGTGCTCACCTGTTGTTTTCTTAAATTATGTTTTAACAGATAGTCTCCGTAGAACAACAAATAAATCTGTCAACACATTCCAGTGCTTGTTAAGTGGTTGACTGGCGACAGAAAGCACATAAATCACTGCTACTGTTTGTTTTAAAAATTCATTTCTCTGATATTTTAGATTTAAAGTAAATAATATTTTTTCAAATCAGATTAATTATACTTTAAATCAGCTAATATTCCTCGAATAAAGTTTCAGAAAAGTGGATTTTATTTTTTCTAAATTTTTAAAACTGAGAATTAACTTTTGTTTAAAAGTTTAATTAATCTGATTTGAAACAAATATTACTTACTTTAATTTTAAAATATTGCAGAAATGCATTTTTTAACACTATGGTAGCTGTTTATTTAAGGTGTTGACAGATGGAAGTTTATCTAATAATTTTCTATGGTGGATATATCTGTAAAAGATAATTGAGAAATATAATGTGAGTGCCTTTTTTATATAAATTTTAATTACTCAGTAAATTTAAAAATTTACAAAAATATTTTCTATAATCTAATGTTTTATTGAATTTTAGATACTTTGGCTTTTAAATTTACTATAGTTATCACTTATTTTCTGACAAGGTTGTATGAATATCTATATCTAAAAAAATCAGCATTATTTATATTATTTGGACTATTGTCCTCATCTTTGTTGCCATATTTATTACAACATTTCAGGCGTTGTATGCTCTGGCCTTCTTCAGGTGGTTGGAATGTTGAACTTAACCCTTTATTTCACTCACTGGGGTAGACTGTTCTAGTTCCACATGCCATGTTTAATGGATGTAAGTTATCTCCTGTTAATTTCCCTCTGAAAGTTCTCCACTGCCTTAACTGGGTATTGAACTCACACTCTTTGGGTCCTGTCACTGGATCTAACCAATGCCTTTATCCACTGTGCCATGTGTCCTTAACCATGGCATGTGGAACTAGAACAGCCTACCCCAGTGAGCGAAATAAAGGGTTAAGTTCAACATTCCAACCACCTGAAGAAGGCCGGAGCGTACAATGGTCAAAACGTTGTAATAAAGATGGTGACAAAGATGAGGACAATAGTCCAAATAATGTAAATAATGTGCATAATACCTCATCTCAGAAATATAGACAAATACTGAAAAATCAGCATGTTTATACATATGCAAAAAAAATTTGAAAATTCTTTTTAAAATACGGGGATAACTAAATTGTAATAAGCTTTACCATTTATGATTAGTAAGTATAGTTTTTACTTAATAACAATATCACCTCTTACAAATTAATGCAGAATTTTAAAAGATTTAAAACTTTATAAATTATTCTAATTAAAATTTTAAAAAGTGAAACAATTTCTTGTAAAGATTCATGATAGTGGCTTTAATATATCTTATTCATAAAAGCAATTAATAGCTTTTCTAGTTAAATTTAAATATTTTCCTTTTGGAATTTCTACTGTTTATATTTTTTTTTTTTTTTTTTTTTACATACCCAGAGCTGTACCATGCATTTAGGTAAAATAAAACAGAAAATTTAATTGGCGAAACATTATGAAATTAAAAAAAAAATGTATACTTTATTTACTTAGGAAACCAAACTAATGCCTATAACCAGTAAAATAAACACAATAATTCTAATCTAATAAAAATCACATTAATAATAAATAAATTAAAAAAAAAACATATTCCCAATGTTATGGAAAAGATATAAAATAAAAACTATAAAAGCACATATTGCTACGCCACTAGGAAAAGTTGAATTGATTCTTATTTTATATGCTTCTTATTAAAACACTCAACACAAAGGGAAGGATTACCGTCACATTCAGGCAAAAATGCATTTACTTTTGAGGTCTTTTTTTATCAGCTTCTTTTGTACTCATTGTTTTCCTTATTTTGCTGTAAAAGGATTTAAAATATAATGTTGGGATAACAAGGGACAAACAAAGGAAATGAGGCTTTGCGGGTGGGGGGGCAACGTGTTAATAAATACTTCATTCAATATGTTTAACACTTTTCTTCCCTCATGAAAACAAAAAAATTGTGATTATTTCTAAATCTTTTGCTTTAAATAAAGATTTTTTTGTAAAATTGGTTTAAATCAAACAGCCGTGTGTGTAGGGATTGAATTTATGATCACTATAAATATGTAAATAAGTAAAATATTATGAAGAAAATCATGTCATATATTTATTGTGTCCTGATATTTTAAATTGGATGGAGATATATATATATATATATATATATTACAATGAATCATTCATACAAAAAAGTAGATTAGTAAAGTTAATGATATAAAATGTCAAAATCCTTTCGCAAACAAAATGTTAAAGGTGCATTAACCTACAAATCACTCGATGGATATGATCCTTGTTTTTAAAAATTATAAACTTTATAAGGTCTTTCTTTAATATGTATTAAAGAAAGACCTTATACAGTTATCATTAATTTTACTAATCTACTTTTTGTACGAATGAATCATTGTAATATAAATTGAACTGCACCACATATTTGAGATATATATATATATATATTGTTATTTTTAATTTTGTTTAAATGTTATTTTTGATGGATACTCATATTTGAGTAGAAGCTCTGTTTTTTTAATTAAACAGTATTTTTCATCCAACTCTATCCTGATATTCAAGAAATCTTATCTGAAAAAATATGCATCCTCTGGCAGGATTTGAATCTGCATCCCCTATTGGGAACTGTCATTGGATCTGACATGCCTAACCACTTGGCCTTCTAGGACTTCTGGTCAAAGCCTAAATAGTGCTAATTCTCAAAACATCAGTATCATATCTCTATCTATAAAAGGCAGGACGTGTGTGTGTGTGTGTAATGAATGCATGGCCACAATTTTTGACGGATTTGCACCAAAATTTACATGCACATGCTCCAAGTTAGCGGGAAGGCCAAGACTGACTTTGCATTTCCCAACTCCCATCGATAATGGAAATAATCAATTTATTCATGCTTCTACAGCAGTTTTCATGTAGTTTGCTGCCATTTTGTACTGGCGTGAGAGCCAACAGCTGACTGACACGAATGTTAACTAGCATGCTAGCATGCAAAAAAAATCAATAGCTGCATTCGTCACAAGTGGGAAAAAATTTAAATCTGCATGGCACTTTACTCCAATTGGCTCATTCGCTTGCTTAAACTCGACGTTGATTCTGATTCTGCAGAACTGGGTTGGGTGTGAAAAAATATCTGTTGTTAACATTCTTTTTTCATTCAGTTTTTCCATTTACGAGTCCTTTTTTAAAGCTGATCGTTTTGTGTTCATTTTATTTATTTCTTTTTTCGTAACAACATCAGCACGGCAAAGGGCACTCCTTTAAAGGCAAGGAAGGGCAAAATTATTTTAAGTCCAGTGATAGCGATTGCTGTATGAGTCGTATGATTTTTGAATCAAGCACGGGCAATGCCGGGCCATGCTGCTAGTCCTACCATAAACAAAGACAATTTTATTTTTCCTCCACTTTACTTCTGTTAATAGATGTTGGAAAATAAAATCCTTACATTTACCTTGGTAAAGAAAAGTTGACAATGTTTAAACTTTGTGTCCACAAAGAAATGGTGTGTCAAAAGGGCAGTTATTTCCTTGATGCTGCTATTACTGTTTACACTTTTGACTCCCTTGCCAACATTTATTGTTTTAAAAAGTGGTGATTAGAAGTTTAATAAAATTCAAATAGGAAAGTGGATTTTTAAATTTTCTTTATTCTTGAGAATTGACAACAAAGATATTAAACATTATTTATTAGATTGCTTATTTACAAGAATAATTTTATATTTACAAGAATATAAAAATATGTGAACCAATTATAATGGAATATTTATTAAATTTTTTTTTATAAAAATTTCTGTGAACAAGAAAATTGAAATAAACACATAACAAGTAACTTTAATGAGAAATTTTGAAAAAAATGCATTTCTTTCTTTTGCTCTCGTCACAAATTCACTAAAATAGGTTGAGAACATCTCTTCCTTTTACATATCTTCATAATTTTGTAAGTTTTATACATTTTTGAATAAAAGAATTTCTTTTCAAATTTATTTCTGTATAAAATGGTAAATAATAAATATTGCATTGTACTTGGTTGATATTATAATTTTGTAAATAAACATTGGTGATGGCGTTAAATGTGTATACAGTAATAGTGGTGTCAAGGGAATAACCGTCCTTTCAACACACCGTTTTTTGTGGACATGAAAGTTAAACATTGCCAAAAAGGTTTCCTTTTGTCTTATATATATTAAAGGTAACAAATCCATTGGTATATAATCCAAGTGGATCCTAGTAATATAAAATATTAAAACTGATCCACAAAAGGAGCTCAATGTATTCATTATTACAGAGCGAATAATTAATGAACAATAAAATCCAAAATCACCTCATATGGAAAATAAACTTATTTCATCTGTCTTATCAACCCTGGTATGGACTGAGTTCATGTCAGAAATAGAAATTTAACTCTGAAAGAAAAAGGGGAAAAAAAAAAAAATCCTGGTCGAAAAAATAATACAGAATTTATCCATTTCAATGTTTCAGTCAGACAAAAGGCACAATATATATATATATATATATATATATATATATATATATATATATATATATATATGAGGTCTGTCTGAAAAGTAATGGACTAGTATCACAAACAATTTATTTCAATTACAAAAAACAAACTACATGGTTTCCCCTTCAAAGTAATCTCCCTCAAGTCTAATGCACTTTTCCATTCTTCTCTGCAACGCTTCTATGCACTGCTGTAAGGGTTTTTCTAGGATGCGCCTCAGCTCTGTTGTTATGGCCCTCCATGCCTTCAAAATGGGCCCCTAGACGATCCCCTTGAGCTTGGGGAAAAGAAAAAAGTCATGTGGACAAGATCAGGTGAATAGGCAGGTTGTTCCAGTACGGCAATGTTCTTCTCAACCAGGAATTATTGGATGCTAAGGTTATTGTGAGCAGGTGCATTGTAGTGGTGAAGCAGCTGCAGTTTGTCCTAACACAACTCTCGTCTCTTCTCTTGCAGTGAGTGAAGAAAACACAGCAGGATCTCTTTGTAGATTTGCTGATTGATTATCTGGCCCTATGGCAAGAACTCACTGTGATTGATGCCTTTCTCATTGAAGGATTGATAAGTCCTGTTACTTTTCAGACAGATCTTAGTATATATGTGTATGTCTGTGTGTGGAGCTTTCCTAGATTTTTTATTTTTTAACTGGTGTTCCTCTTGCAAAGTCTTCCTGTTTTTTTGTTTTTTATTATCTTGTTTCTTTTTCCATTTTAGAAAATACTGTCTCTGAACAACAACTCTGATGAAGAAGATATTTTTGAAGATAGTCAAATGATGAACAAGAACACTAACTACAGGCATTGTGATTTCTGTGAAGTACAGGTAAGTTTTTTTTTCTTCTTTTTATAAATAAAAATTTAATTATTTAAATTCATTAGGGTGTGCAGGTGGCGTAATGGATAGTGGATCAAAATGAGAAATCTGAGAGTTGAGTTTGATTTCCAGTTGAGTTCATTATATTCACTTATGCACAAGAAAACTTGGGAAAGGTATGCGCCCATCTCTTCTCCCTCCACTATGGGTTAAATAGCAGGACAGACTAGGTCCTATAGCCTTGGTTGACAACCAGTCTACAACAAAAAGAAATGGCAGTCTACTGCATAAATCTGCTTTGTCAGTCATGAATGTTTTGATTATCACTCAAGCATCTATCACGTATGGAATTTAATTGATTGCAATATATTAGAAAGAAGAAATTTCTGTGAAGCAGGGGTGGGGTATCATTATTTACATGTGATCTATTGGTTATTGTTATCACAACATTTCGGCCATTGTACCCTCTGGGCTTCATCAGGTGCTTGTCAATTCGAATAACCTACAAGAAATTTTGAGCTGAATCCTTTATTTAATCTATGAGGGTAGATTGTTCTCATTCCACTGTCCATATCTAAGGGTATCTTGCCTTGTTCTTATTTTAAGTACTGCTTGGATATTGCTCACTCTGTTTTCACTGAGTCCAAGTACACACTGCCAAGCCCAGGGATTGAACTTGCAATTACTATGTCACCAAATTCATGAACACTTGCTTTAATCCACTAGAAATATAGTCTAGTGGATTAAAGCAAGTGTTCATGAATTTGGTGACATAGTAAAAAATATATAGTTTTCTGTTTTCATGTATCATTTCATCAAAAATCATTTTTTATTTTATCTTGTAATTTTTATTTATCTTGCAATTTCAATTTTGTTTTTAGGTTGTAATTTTTTTTTTTTTTTTTTTTTTTTAATGATATTATTTGGAATAGTGAGGCTTTTCCTGTTGGATTATTTTTTTAAATTTTGTGCATTGTGTGTGCAATAATCAAGACAGGTGAAGCTTCCATGCATGACTACTCGAGGCAAATGTATGTAAACAAAGCCAGTAATGGCTGCTGGGCTGTAGCCGCAATGCAAATAAGGCTGAACTTATAATGTCAGTAACTCCTAAATGATACATTTCTGCAAATTTTTATTGTTATTTTTTAAATAAGAATGCAAATTTACACCAAAATGGAAATTTTCATTACAATTCGTTTCCGGGACTTAATCTGCAAATTTATCTATCCCAGGGAACAATAGCCCCAGTTAAAGAAATTAGTTTGTGTATTTGATAATTTAGTAATTGTGATAACAACAACAAAGATGAGGACAATAGTCTGCATGTAAATAATATCAATAAAACCATTTCTTCTCTTGTTTTTCCTCCTCCTCCCCAAACTCTAAATATTTAACTAGCTCTGATTTCTCATTATTTTTTTTTAATTTGCATTACTTCAAAAAGAAATATAACTATACCTATTTCCATATAAATTATACACTTTAAGAAAGCCACAGAATAGAACAGTCAAAACGTGTTAATATTACATTGGAGCAAAAGTTTGTAGCATTTTTCAGTGGTAATGTTAATATTAGCTGAAATTTATAAAATATTCCTATGAAACAATTTTTAGGAAAACAGATTTCTCAAGTCAAGTAGCTGTTATTGCTCTTTATAGTATTGATAATGGTTTCCTACGTAATGTTTAATTTAAAGTAGTGTGGAATGTCAACATCTTGATTATGCCAACAACTGGCATTTCAACACATGACTAAAATTTATGAAATATATACAGGGTAAAATGGATGAATTTTCATCTAAATTATACAAAAATGAATATAACAGACATCTCATTTTAACAGATATGTTTACTAAAATTACACAAAAATATTTTGAAATACTAAAAAGTAAATTTATTCAATAAAATCGCCATTGGCTTCAACCAGACAACTTTGGAATCTTCAACAACTCTTCTTGATGGTCTCGTTGTTTAAGTTGGTGAATGCTGCCATAAACCTTGTCTTTAGTTCATCTTTGGTATTACAAGGAGTTCTGTTGGTTTTTCACTCAACTGTACCCCATACATAATAATCAAGGTAGTTGCAATCTGGGGAGTTAGGTGGCCAGATTTAAGTGGGGAATTTGGTCGCAGAAATTGTCTGACAGCCATGACTGGATTCTCCTGCTTGTGTAGCATGGTGCAGAGTCCTGTACCAGTAACCACCCTCTTGATCCTGGGCAGTACTACCTCCTCAAGGAACTTGTAGGCCTCCGTGTTGTGTCTGAGGCCCTGTAGGAAGATGAATGGAGGCACAACGTTGCCATCACTAGTGGTCACTCCAAACACCTTTGTAATAAGCATTCTTGTTGCCATATATAGGTCTTCCAAGCTACCCTCTTGACCCAGGACAGGACTACCTCCTCAAAGAACTTGATATTCATATTGAGTGTGAGGCTCTGTAAGAAGATGAATGGTGGTGTAACTTCACCATCACCAGTGATTGCTCCAAACACTTTTGTAATCACCATTAGACTCATCAACTCTTTCCAAATCCTCTGCATTGTCCTCAGATTGTCACCCACTCTGAAATGTTTGTATTGGAGCTTCCAGCACGAATGCCAAGCAGTACAGCATGCCATTTCCAAATTTCTGGCAGACGGAATTGCATCATGGTGCTCTTTTTCTCATAGTGCCCAACTAACCTTACTATGATGTGCAGTCAACAAAATCAAAAACAAACAACGCACATGTGCGAAATGAAAATATAAAATGGCAACAATTTACCCATCATACCCTGTATATACATTAAATGATAATAATAAAAATCAATAAATAAATAAGGAAAGAATAAAAGTATAAAATTATCATCAAATATGAGAACATTATTATTATGTATATTTTACTGCAGATTCTAAAGTTTTCCAGTACACAAAAATAACCAGCATAAAGAAACTACTTCTCCATAATCCAATGTACTGAGCAGGTCATCTGACACATATGGAAGATGGCAGATTGTCCAAGAGACTTTTTAGGTTTAGATGGTACAAGTTGTTCATAAGTCCCCAAAATATTTCAAGGATGTAGTTAAATGTAACCTAAAGACACTTGGTGTCCATATTGAAGACTGGGAAACCGTTGATTGAGATAGATCTGGCTGGGGAAGCTTGATTTGGGAACACTGTAACAATTTATTGTTATGCCACCCACCTTTTTTTTTGTATTATTAAACCAAGTAAACTTCATAAAACTTGGTTCCTAAATACTGTAAACTGTAGGGAGAAGACAGTAGGTAAAGGGGGGATGTATTAAAACATTACTGATTTTTACCTTTTGATGTCTGTCGGATGAGTGAGTTTTGAAAGGCAAACATAGTAACAAATAAAAATGGCACTTGGCAAATCTAATTATTAGAAATAAGAATTTCCATTTCAAGTAGGTCACTCTGTTTTTCCGTTTCCATGGAAAATAATCCTCTCTCTATAAATATTCTGAAAGGTGATATGTCTCTCTCTCTCTCATTAGTGAGGAGAGTATGAATTTAAAATGTTTTTATTTTAAAAGTGAAGATGTAGGAAAACTCTATGCATTTTCATCATTTGATACACTTTTCTTTCTGCAAAGGAAAAATGTCATACAAACAGCAAAATAAGATATGTGCGATTTATGGAGATGGTGCTGTAACTGAGAGCATTGTTTGTAAGTGGTTTGCTAGCTTCGGAAATGGAAATTTTGATCTGGAAGACCAAAAATGTTTCAGCAGGTTTGCAGTTGTTGATGATCAATTCAAAATGTTCATTAGAAATAATCCATGTCACATGACACAGAATATCAGAGAGATACTCTGTATATCTGAGAGAAGCATTGTAAACTATTTGAAAACACTTAGATTGGGAATTGTTGACAACATTTCCATCTACACTGCAACAAAACAACCATTTATTTTTTTTTTTTAAATAAAATCATAGGCAATGGGAAATGGATTGTTTACAATAATATGGAGTGAAAAAGATCCTGAGATGAGCCACCATTAACCACTCTAAAAGCTGGTCTGCATCTGTGTTATGCCATAATACCTATTCTATTGTAATGGACTCTCCCACAGATAATAAGTAGTAGTAGCAGTCGCCAGTTGGGCTCAGTGGTGTTGAGCGAGTCAGACAATATTGGACATTGAAGTACCAACCATCACAACTAGATTGCTATGTCATTTATTCTTATTTCCAAGTTCCTAACATTTGGTACGCCGAACCTAATTTAGGACGACTTATTGAAATACAAGCCTCCACTGTGAAAACTACTCTACAACAATCTGAAGAATGTAATGCTATGTTTCTAATGTGACTGTAAGGGCATTGTGGATTATGAGCTCCTTTTGCAAAATCAAACATTGAGTTCAAACAAGTACTTTTCCCAGTTAGACATTAAAGGTAATTATTAATTCCTAATATAGATATATTTCACTCACGTTTAATGGATGTCAGTTATCAGTTATCTCTTGTTAATTTCCCTCTGAAAGTTCTCCACTACCTTAACCGGGTATTGAACTCACACTCTCTTGGTCCTGTCACTGGATCTAACCAATGCTTTTATCAACTGTGCCATGTGTCTTTGAGGACATCTGTGTATGAATTTCTGGGTATTATAAACCTAATGTCTTCAGCAACCATTTTTACCAGTGCTCATATTGCAATTTTTTGCTCTTTTCATTGCATGTTTTTTACCAAAGCTCATATTGCAACTTTTTATTGTTGTTATCGCTTTTCTCTGGCACTCCTTATTACTGGTTCCCATATTGTATTCATTTCTATGCTTGGTCAGCCCAGGAGATTTTTGTGGCCTAGCATATGTGCAGATTCCTTAAGTTTACGAATATTCCAATGGTGTTCCTTGTCTATGATCTCTACCTGATCCCACAGAGGGCAGTGATATCCCTTCTCTCTCCATATGGGGCCAGCCACGCCTGATTTTTCCACTTACCCTCGTGTTACAGCTTTCTGGTGTTCTTGAAGCTTTACCTTAAGGGGGGTGGCCTGTCTCCCCTTTATATTTCTTTCCACAGCTGCACGGGATAGCGTACACACAGTCTTTAGTCATGTTCTCTTCTATGGAGGAGGTCTTACTCGTGAGAGATATCTGCGATTCTCTGCTCAGATACAAAAATGACTAATTTTTGAAAAGAATGATCACAGATGATGAAAAAATGGATTGTTTACGAGAAGGTGGAGTGAAAATGGTCCTAAGCATAAAAAAAATGGTTTGGGAAGAACATTATGTATGGTAATTTCTTTCCACAAAGTCAGACATTGAATTCAGACAAGTACTGTTCACAATATGAACAATTAAAAGCTGCAATTGCAGAAAAGCATCCCGAATCAGTCAATTGGAAAAGGTGTCATCTTCCATCAGGACAATGCCAGATTTTGTGTCTTTTGTAGACCTGGCAGAAATTGGTACACTTTCACTGGGATGTCCTACTACACCCGTAGTACTCACTAGACCTTGCACCACTTATTTCGATCCCTACAAAATTCTCTTTATGGAAGAACTTCAATTCTGTGGAAGCCTGTAAAAATCATTTGTACTAGTTTCTCACTGAGTGAGATGCCAAGTTCTGGGAGGATGGAATCATGAAGCTGCCTCAAAGAAGCCAAAAGGTATTGGAACAAAATGGCACATATGTAGTTAAGTAAATCTTTGGACAAATATCTAAATAATGTCTGAAATTCACTTTAAAATGCTATACACTTTTGTTTTGATCCAAAGATGAGTCAACTTGTTTTGATTAATCAATTCTATGGCAGTTTATATGGAAATAGGGAGGGGCTCTTCTTTTTCTGGGTTGTGCAAACCAGAAAAGTGTGGCAAACCTGCACTACCTTTAAAAAAAAAAAAATAACCAAAAATAATAAAAAAGGAGCCTTACTGCCATTTTTCCATATGAATTGTACATTTGAAGAAGGCCAGATTGTAAACTGTTCTGAAAACTTTTGGAACAATAAAAAAAGGCAATGAAAAGAATAATTATTTTTTTTTTTTTTTTTTTTTTTTTTAATCAATCTACTGTATAATGGCAGAGGGTGTGTGGCTTGTGTAATAACAGTGATTTGGGGGAAAAAAAATCAGCAGGTGGACTCAAATTCCAACCAAGTTCTTTATGTTCACTTTTTTCCTTTGGGGAAAAGTATGAATCTATCTCTATGGGTAAAATAGCAGGGTCATCTTGCCTTGGTAGGGCAACCAGTCAAGGAGAAGAGAAAATCTCTAAATTCAAAACCAGCTTGAAGAGAGATTGCCTTTGTCAGGCATTCTTGCCCCAGACACATCCACTGCTGTTATGTAGTGCTTCTACAACCCTCATACATTACAGGTTTTGTGACTTATGATAAAATGATCAGAATGAGTAAATCTAATTCTTATATATATATATATATTTTTTTTTTTTAATAGCAACCCATGAGAAGTAAGCACTGTGAAGATTGCAAACGTTGTGTTCGTAAATATGACCACCATTGCCCTTGGCTTGAGGCATGTGTTGGTGAGAGAAATCACAAGTTCTTTTGGTTGTTCCTGCTCTCAATAGCGTCTCTGATATTGTGGACCATTTACATCACCTGGTAAGTAACAAGCAGATCTTATTCCACAAGTCATTCAGACTAGTATCTTCATTCTTGCAGTTTTTATCCTTACATTTATATGATGTGTTCAACAAAAAATTGAAAATTCCTTTTTTCACTGAAAATTATTCATTATATCCTATCCAAGTATTTTACAAAAAATTAGAGCTGATTACACAATATTTCAAGCTCAATTTACGTTTATAGTTCATAACCATGCAATGAGGTAACATAAACCGTCAATTTGTCTGTGGAATATCATTACATCATTGTTACATAATTATAGTAAAATCATTAAGGTTTTTGTCAAAAGCATTTTATTTTTAGTTGTATATTAATTTAAAATATTACTTTTTAGAGGCTTTATTTTTGAAATGGATTAAGATTATTCTAAATTTCAGAATTTTACTATTGCCCATCAAAATGACTGGAAAAAAGCAATCTAAAAACAATGGAAAAGAGAGGTAACAAAACGTAAACAAAATAGCTCCAGATTATTCGACTTAGGAAACTTAGCACTGAAGCCAAAATATTCTAATATGCTGCCAATAACAAAGGAGAAAATGAAAAATACCCAACAACATATCAAATCTGTCTATATTTCTGAGATGAGGTATTATGTACATTATTTACATTATTTGGACTATTGTCCTCATCTTTGTTGTCATATTTAATAAATAATAAATATGGCAACAAAGATGAGGACAATAGTCCGAATAATGTAAATAATGAACAAATCGAATATAGCATCAAAATTTATATTATTTTATTTGTTATGTAACTAAATACATAAGTGTCAATACTTGATATTTCCTGTAAGAAATTCTTAATAAATATTATTATTGTTATTATTTTACTTGAGTGTAAGGTAGTCCTACATTTACAATTTCTCACGGTTAACCATGAAAAGAAATGTTGATCAAAACTACCTAAAACCTTTAAGTGTGTATTGCTGTAAAATTACCTGAATGCATCATATATTCTAATTATATTGTCTTTAGAGATGGTAACCTCCAAGTAATTTTCAGATCACCAATTTTTTGATTCAGTCAACAAAAAAAAATGTGACAGAATATATAATAAGCAGCCTGAAGAACATTTTCAATTCTTACAGCCATCCTAAAACTACTTTTAAAATTAGCTTCTATGTTACCCTAGTATGCTTCCATACTATACTCCCTGGAAAAGTAATAATTTTCAGGCTTGATAAACTGAGTAATCATTTTCTCCCTAGTATTTAGCCAGATGGGGTTCTCTGGCTTTGATTTGCAACCAGACTAGGAAATGAACAAATCTGATTCCAATGGAGCCATGAGTGGATTTCCAAAAGGTTGATCAGTGGCAAACTATTTTCTTTTTGGTAACTCTTGCGACCATAAACATTGCATTATATCATTGGAAATTATGACCTTTGAGATTGAGAGATTGGAATTATATCTCTACAGTAACCTTCCCAATTAAAAAAAAAACAACAAAAAACATTCATGCATAGGTTGCAAATCTGCTATTCTGCACAATCACAGACCTGATTGGAACAAAGGACATCCAAAGAAGAATAATAATGGTCATGCCACTTTTCAACTGGCCGACACCATTCAATTGGATGGAATAATTTATTTGCAACTTCAACTACCTTTCTGTGATGACCCCCTTTTTTTTTTCTTTTTTTTTTTTTTTTAATAAGGTTGCTGGTTTTTTGGTGCATTATTTATGAGGCTTTATGTTAAACACCTTTATCTTCTCTTATTTCTTTCTAGCCAAATCCAAACAAACATTTCACTTAATAATTTTGCTTACAAACATTTCACTTAATAATTTCGCTTACAAACATTTCACTTAATAATTTCACTTACAAACATTTCACTTAATAATTTCACTTACAAACATTTCACTTAATAATTTCACTTACAAACATTTCACTTAATAATTTAAAAATAATGTTATGATAATGTTATTTTATGTAATTTTTTTTGTTATTTACTTCTTTTTTTTGTATTTTTCCTATGAGACATGACCCAGTGCACATGTTAGTACTTTATATGAGAATTCCACAAAGTCATTTCTTGCAGATTGACCACAGATTCTTGATTGGATTTAAATCAGGAGAGTTTCCAGGCCAGTTTATAGTACTTTGATTTGCTCACTGGTAAAGCTTGCCTGTGTGTTTGTGTAGCATTAGAATTTTTGTACACTTCCTTGGAGTAATGTCCATTGAAGACAATGGCCGTAGGACAATTAAACGATAGTCGAGACAATAGTGTCTGGGTGTGATAAAAACCTGATGCAATCACAGATGATGCAACAAATTTCATCATACACTCTGAAAATAGATTCATATTACTGTACAACACTACAAATGACCTAATCTGAAGAAAAAATAGAAATCAATTACACCCTGTCACTCCTGTGGGTCTAAAACTGACCGTATGGTGAAAAAAAGGAAATTGAAGTAGTTTTAATTAATTTGCACAAGGGTGTATTTACCCATCTGGACTGAGCAAGCAAAGCCTTGAATAAAAACACCTATTTTATAATTTTTGAAACAGGCTTTATTTTATCATTTCTTGACATGACATAAATTTTCATCCTTGTTGCCTTGTGAACATGTTGCACTCCTTTCCCAGTTTTTGGTGCAATCAAGACACAACTTGTGGTAATCATTGCCTATTTGGTGAAAAGCTGGGTGCTGGTCACATGTGTTTACAACTCAGTGAATGAATGTGATTAAAACTATAATTGTTTTTTTGTTGTTTTTTTTTTAATCATTTTACCCCAAGCAAGGCAATAAAGACACTAAGATGCAATGGGAGTTACTGAGTGTTAGTGGATATAAGAAATAAAACACTATTAAGGAGAGAGGACAATAAAAGAACAAGAATTAAGAAGACAAGATAATGATTGACAGTGCATTTAAATTTTTGAAGGTCAAAGTTGGCTGGGAAGCAATAAGCTGGAAGATCGTTCCACAAGTGGGAATTGTGATGGAAGAAACTATTAGCATAGAACTTATGGTTACATCTTTTGTCATTTCAACTGTAAAATAATGACATCTTATTGTTGCTAATCTAGTTCTGTGCTTAAATTCATAAAGTATAGGTACCACAGAGGAAAGTTCATCAGAACCATTACCATGAAAGTATTTATAGAAAAGGTGCAGAGAAGCTATGGTTTGGTGATGGGAAAGTGATTGAAGCTGAGATGCTAGGTCTGACAAAATTAAAATTTGGTTGGATTAGGTTGGGCTACTCAATTACATTGAACTGCTGGATTTGCATAAAAAAAAAGATTAGTTTAAATATTTTATGATATGAAAATATTCATAGTGAGAGAGCAGAAACTTCCTCATTTTTAACCCACTTTCAAAAATCTAACCAAACATCAAAATTTATTTCAGAATCCGTTCTTAGTCAGGCTAAGAATTTTTAAGTACTCTCTTTTCTGCTTTTAACAAATGTTTGTTTTTGTGCCTTCTTTGTTCTATGTACTGTTTGTCTTGATATATATATATATATATATATATATTTTTATTTATGAAATTTATTTTCTCATTTTCTTTTTAATATAGGGAATCTATTGTATACAAACTAGAATGGATCCAGTGGTTGGAAAGCAATGCCCTCCTATTCTGTGATTTATTTGTCCTCATTGTTGGGGGGATGGTGGTTTTTGGATTACTTAGTTTTCACTCCTACCTCATCATTCAGGGCCTGACCACGTGGGAATTTGTGTCCCGAGATAGAATCACTTACCTCAAGTATTTGGACGACTCTTACAACCCTTTTGATGAGGGGTGCCTTTGCAACCTTTACCATTTCTTGTTCCACTGGAAACTCCGGCGTTGGGAAACAGTCTATGCTAAGAAAGCTGATGCCCAGAGTACCAGCAATGGTGGTATTGTGTAGCAGGGACCAAAGACTGCTGTTAGATATTGCTTCTGCACTGATCTCCTTCCTTGTTAGAGTGAAGGGGCCTAGATTCAGATTTGGTTTCGGGCTGAATAGATGACATTTTTTTTTTCTGGTCACATGCATGAAAATTTTAAAATAGCAGCTATCATATTACAATTACACCTTACTTAAAACTATTGACAGAATTACTGTCTCCTCATCAAGAAGTTTAAAGGAAACATTAGCTTTTTAATGTTAAAGGCTATTAAACAAAATAATAGTAGCTGACAATATATTATAGAACTTAATACTTTTAATCATATAAAGCATATATATAAAAAAAAAACCCAAAAAACTTCAAGCAAAATAAGAAAACTTTTGATATTTGATTTTTACAATGTTGAAAAGATGACTAATGCTGTTAAAAGCTTTAATTAAGGTGTATTTGAAATATGTGATTTATATATAAAAACAGAAAAAAAAGACTTGCTGAATGTGATGTGCACATAGATTATCAGCTGAGAGCTCTGTGGCCCAAACCACCCCTCCTGGGAGATAGGCTCCTACACAACTGGTAACCCTAATCATCCCAGAATTTGGGCACTTTGTCTCATTTGCATTTATTGTTATTTTTTTTTCATTGCACCCCTTTTTTATTCTTTCCTTTTCCCTTAAACAAGGGTAGATAATCTAATGTGTGTGTATATATATATATATATATATATACAACAGAAGTTTGACACCACAGAACATATATAGAGATATGAAAATGCAACCTTCTTCTTTAAGGGTCCTTTTCAACCAAACCTTCCTCAAAAGAATATGTTGGTAAATATTAAATTGACAGAATAAGAATTTGCACTGTGAGAAAAAACTATTAGGAGGAGTATTGTTATTGTTATTCTGTCAATTTAATATTTACCAATGTATTCTGATGAAGGGTGGGTTGAAACTGTGCTATATATATATATATATATATATATATATATATATATATATATATAAAAATCTCGAGCATTGTTTTATTACAACCAGCACTCTCTGTGCGCTATATGACACAGATATTTTTTGTATATATTTTATGTTTTTTATTTAGTTGACATGTGGGGGTTACAATAAAGTTTTCGGGAAATTACAAAATTTTCAGCTCCTTCTGCAGCCTTTGTTGGGGTTTGATATTGAATAGTGTTTGTGTGTTTTTTTTTTGTTTTTTTTTATACACAAAAATGTTCCCATAACTTTATTATTCTACCACATGTCAACTAAATAAAAAAATATCGAAAGAATATCTTTGTCAACACTTTTTATATAATATAAGGAGCATACATGAATATTTACTCTCGATATATGGCTATATATATATATATATATATATTTATATAATGATGAGGATGCTCCAAATGTAATGCCTCCTATTCATTTTCATGGAAACAACATATGTATGAAGCACAATAAGGCCATTGGCGCAAAGTTTTCAGCTACAAAATATTTTTGCACATAGTGACCACCATTGGTTATGCATTTTCTCCTGTGAGGAACAAAGCCGTTTATGACAGAATGATGACATGTCAGAAAAATATTGACTGCATAGTCCATCTCTCAACAGTCTGACTGGACGGAAATTGGAAGACGCCAGCAAATGGGCAACAGGTGCAATTTTTTCTGCATAGAGCAATTCTACTTCATACGCAGTTTTGTGTCTGATGGCATTTTGTCAGACTGCTGTTCAACTGTCTCAGACGTTGTGGGAGGCATTACTTTTGGATCAGTTTACATGTATGCGTGAAAATGATCCTTCCAATTCATAAAGATAATCTTTTATTTTGATTATTCTTATTGTTATCTAATCTTGATCCACTTTCCTTTTTAAATTTCTTTCTGGTTATTCTTTGTTGTCTGCCTTTTGTAAAAGTCTTTATTAATTTTGTACTCTTGGAGGACCTGTTTCCATTATACTTTTAGAAACTCAATTAAATATTTTAAACTATACAAAAATGTGGCTTAATTTAACAATCAATGGCCACATAGACAATAATTTCTTTTTTCAAAGAATAATCATTTTTTTAAATGTTGCTGATAAAAATAATTCAACTAACAAAAGTATTTGATTTGGAAACTTAGAATGTTATTTAATAATTTAAATTCACTTCCCCAACCCCTTGAATGTATACTAAGATGTCTATGGTCTCATATTTCAAATCGGTACTTATGAAAAAAAAAAATAAAAACAAAAAACATCAATGACAGGAGCTTTTTTTGAATCATAGGAAGCAAATATGAAAACCACACATGGATAGTTTTTCATTAAAAAAACAAACTGGAAACAGATTTAAAGATTACATCATGGAATAATCTTTTTCTAGCAGCTTGTTAACCGTCTAACTTAAAATCAGTTACACTTGCTCCATGTTAAAGGTTGATTTCCAACATGTAGTAAAATAACTACATGTTTAGTGTTAAATGTTTTCTTTTATGCATTTTATCATCAGTATTATTTTATTTCTTTAAATATTATTTTTATGAATGTTTCTGCTTTGTTTACAAAAAGCTCAAAAAATTTGTCATTAAAAGAATTAAAAAAACATATCTTGAATATCAGTCCAGGTAAAGAGAAAATGCCATTATCATTTTTTTCTTTTTAATTTGCATATTTTGTCTTGCTAGTTTTTAAGGCATAGCTGTGATGGCCTGATTATAACTTGTTCCGTCCTTGTCAAACTGATGTTTCTTTTTAAAGGTGACTGAAAGATACAACCAGTGATGTCTTGCTTGGTAGAATATTACTGAGAAACTAAGAGACCATGTTTAAAATCTGATATCAGATATAATAAATCTTGGTTAATGTTGTCAATAAAAGTTGTATTCATAAAAACAAATTAGTCAATTTAATCAAAATTAAGTGACTATTATTCTTGGATTCATGGATTCAAGATATCTTTAGATTGTTTGTTCAAAAAATATTTCTAAAAAAGAAATTCTTTTGAACAAACTGTCTTTGGTCCATTTTTTTTTTTTTTTTTTTCTTTTCTTTTTTTTTAGAATTTAGCCATTAAATCTTTCGCCACAGACATTTGCCTCTGGTTATGTTCCCTGCTGACTTTTTGTTTTTTCTTTTTGATATCTAAATCGCTTATGTATTTTCATAGGTGGTCCTTTTTGTGCCTACCCATTCTTCTGTTGCACATACCTTGCCACTCCCCATCTTTCCCCTCACCATATCTATATATTTTGTTTTTAAACTGCAGCTTGCGTGTCCTGAACAGAAATATTGGCGATTTCTGTTCAGGACACACACACACCCCTCTGCTCTCAAATCCTGTAACTGAAAATGGCAGCCCTTGAAAAGAGATTTATGGAGAAATTATTAAAAAAAACAAAAAACAATATGTTGAAGGATGACTTCCTTGTGAAGAACAGATCAACTGAATTAACTTTGAATGTTTGTCTACTTGGGTCTTTAAATTGCAATCAGTTCAAAGCTAAAATGTTAGGTCTCTTTGAAGCCCCAGATTAAAGGTGTTTTTAATTTTTTTTATTCATGTTAGTCGCTAATCTTTATCATTGACTTTGGTATATTGTAGCTGGTGGCGAGGTGTTTCACTCCTGGTGTAGGCTTGTTGATGCCTGATGAGACTAATACAAGATAAACATGCAATTGTAGAAAGGTTTAAGGAGTAGAATTTAGAATTCATAATGAAATTTTACAACTTCATCCTTTCTCTTCAACTATGGCTCTGCAGTTTTGTTTTTTGTTTTCACAATTTAGGTCTTGCAGACTGTTTTCTTGTCAGGTACCTGTATTTTGTCAGGTACTTGTCAGGTACCTGTATTATGTCAGGTACCTGTATTATCCATTGTTGGTAATCATTACCACCGGAAGTGAAATTCTTTTTTAAGAAATCTTTGCACATCATCTCCCTCACTGGTCTTTACCCATTTCAGCAAAAGGGCCCTTTGGTAGTTGACAATCTTCCATCTGTCACATGCCCAGTTTAAGTGTATCTTGTTAAGTATGGCTATTATGCTTGTGATTTTGGCAATTTTGTTGATTTCAAGGTTAGTCACAAAATACATGTACTAAGCTTAATATGGCACAAGGCCAGATGAAGAAAAATTGAGAGCAGGAAGATTGTGTGGTACAAATCTTTTTAGTGGAGAGAATCTGTTTCACTTGGAGACCTGTATTAAAAATTCTAACTTTTGCCTGTGTGAAAACAAACCTTGGCATTACTCAATTATCCACTAATCATCACTCTCCCATATATATATATATATATATATATATATATATATATATATATATATATATATATATATATATATATATATATGGGAGAATATGATATACAAGCTCTATATATATCAGACTAATAGTGGGTAATTGAATGAGAAAATAGAAAAAAAGACTTATGTATTTCATCCTTTGAAAGGACTTGAGATTAATGTTTTTGTCAATGGAATCATATATATATATATAGGGGAGGGAATGAAATATATTGATTACAATTCTACATTAGGGAAAGAAGATACAGGGACACTTAGCTATAAATTTAAAAATTTTGGCATTTCATGTTATCTAGACCTTGTTCAACTTTTTATCGGTATTGTTTTTCAAAATCCCACATTAAAATAGCAGTAGCTTTGTTAAGAAAGGTGATATGTTGTAGGATCCTGGAGATAAATCTTCCATGGAAGACTCAGAAATTACTGCACTTTCTATACACTTTTGTCTTACTAAATTATTCTTAATTAAAGCTGCATTCATTAAATCAAGAAACAACTAATGTATTGAATTCCTTCAGTTTCTCACCGACGTGATGTGGTGTGGCTTCTTCCCTCTGTCTTTTCCACAAAGATTTTCATGGCAACTGCTCTAATGAGCTTTTTTTCCCAGGTGCCCCGACTACATGAACTTAACATGCTACTAGATTGGCATCTAGTGTCCCATCCTTTTACTGTCAAAATAACTAAATGCCACTTCTACTCCAACAGTTTCTTTTCTTGCACTTTACACT